CAAATTGTCCAGTGGAAATTAGCGCCATTGCGGTTTGTGTAGGTGAGCTATACGGCCAGGCGAGGATTCGGTTCAATAACGAACGCAACTAAAACCGACCGATTGCCTAAAATTCGCTAATTAACCTTTTAATTAGAAAAGAAAACGGCATCTTGTATTTAGAAAGTTGTTGGCCATAATCGCAAGCCACCAAACCGTCCATTCTTAAAAAGATGTAACGCGCGTACACTATTATACGGCGTCCTCCTAATTTTGGCGCGAAAATATCGTTCTGATTTTATGTGGGCTCCATCTCCGCGTGGCATAGCCTAACGCCATGAAGCCAAAGCGACAAATCATGCGCATCGCTGTGAGAACGCCACTGTAGAAGGGGCGGGGAGTGCGGTGGCCGAAGGGATTGCGGTAACACGATTCGCGTCCAAATTAGGCTTTTTAGGACGCCGTGAGCCATTTCACATCCACTAAAATAAATGATTTGGTGTTTTTGATGACGACAGATAAGGCACAAACCGCAATTGCGTAACTCTGACGTCTTTTTTAGAAAAATGTCTAGTCGTTAAAAAAAATCGCCCTGTATAAGCACGATTGTAAGGCAGTTCTTTACGTCCGGCGACATCATTACGGCATGGAAGGAGACGTTGACCACAGATCACACTCTGTATATGATCTGTGGTCACTGTTTTTTTGTTTTTTTTTTTCGTACGAGAATGAGCAAACATTTGATACCAAATAAAATAGATTTAGCATTCACCAAATTCGGCTTGTTTACTTGATTCAAATTGATATTTGATTTGATTACACTTATTTTGTACCCGCACACGCCTACTTTATTCCTTAATGAGTTACAAGTAATAATTCCAATGTTTTTTTTCTTTTGTCGTGCGAGGTGATCACAATTTATTATTAACAATCGGAGCTATGCGATTACGCGGAGGAGGCGCATTTGAAGATATTCAAAATTGTTCTGAATACACAAAGAACTTCAAACGTATTGCTGTTTGGGTCGTTTCCTACACGCAGGACCAATAATAAAGCCAAAACCTTATAGAGGAGACTATCTCTATCAACTCAACGCACAAACACGATGTGAAGCGTGTCTGCGTACGTTGGAAAAGAGATACCGGCGAGCAAACCATAGCGTCGAATGTCCATGCATTAAAATGTCCGTGCACCGAAATATCCGCGCACCGAAAAGTCCCACACCGAAAAGTCTTTGCAGCAAAAAGTCCGTACACTGAAATGTCTGTGCACGAAAAGGTCCGCACCGAAATGCCCTACAGCAAAACGCTCTACACCGAAAAGTACTAAACCCACTACGGATGAGATCTTCCGTCACCTCTGCCGGTTTGCGAACCATGATGATTCAGAACCACTGGTCTATGGAGCGCCATCCCTGATATACAGAAAACGCCGCTCGTTCTTCCCGTTGTCGCCATGAATCCGCCTAAACAACGAAAGGTGCCAAATCAGATATTTATATTAAAATTAATACTTCAATTACTACTTCTTTGAGCAGAACAAGGCATGTGTCCTCTCACAACAGCAAAAAATCGTCTTCCAAACCAATGCTAAAAAAGAGCCAATGCAACTCGTTGGGAAGAGCAAGTGCCAAGCTCGCTCTAGAGCACTATATAGCTCCTTCGGAGCAGAGTAGCGCAATCTAGAACGTCGACTCTCGGCGACTAGCGGCGAACGCCCGGAGGTTCCAACTGTGGTCAGAAATGCATGGAGAACGTGAGAAAATCTTTGTTTATTCAGTATTGTGGAGTTGTACGGAATGGCAATTATTTTTGACATAATAATGGAACATTTTAGAATAATTTGTGCTAAGTTTTGTGCCCCGCCAGGACGTGACTTTTTTTAAAAAATTGCCTGAGCGGCATCATGCAGCAGACGACACGGCGACGTCACACCATTCACGTGACCCGCTCCAGCCAACCCGAAAAGCCCATCTCCGCTGCGAGCAAAAATCGTCTGCTTCAAACGCCATTGCCTTGGAAATTGACTTCTCAAAATTTGCACACGCATCCGATATTATTAAAACTTTGATAAATGGTTTAGTGCTTTACTAACTTCACGACAGACTAAACATTTCGACAAAAACCCCGAGACTGGGACAAAAAGGGACGGACAAACACAAAGTCTCAATGACAGACTAGTTTTGAAAAGTGTGAACTCGCCGTTCATTTTTTAATCAGCCGTGTTGTGTCGATCTCCATGTATTCTCCCATAGGGCGGGCCGCCTCCTGGAACCCTGAGTACCACGTGACTCGCGCCGAGCCGCTCTGTCGGCCTTGTTGTCGGCAAAACACGGGGTTCAAAGGATTGCGCTACTCTGCTCCGTAGGAGCTATATAGTGCTCTAGCTCGCTCAAGAGTCAAAACAGCTACTCGGTTGGTTCAGCTCCTTGTCGCAGGTGTGCCGGCTGGCTTCTGGATAATCTTTTCAAATCCTTGAAGCTTTCGTTTCCCCCACCCCACACTTGTAAAAGAAAAAAAGAAAAAAAAAACAAACAAAAAAACAGGCAGCTGGCAAAAAAAAAAAAAAAAAAGAAAATCGGAAAATGGCGAGGAGGAAACGAGAGGCGATTTCCTCCTTTCACAGTGGCGAGAAGCAAAGTGAGGGTCGGGTTCCTTCTCTCTGCTTGCGGGCCGGCCTTTAATGTCTCGCTTATAACCGTTTCGTCGAACAGGCGAGCTGGCTAATCCCGTTAAGATTGTCTCCGGATGAAGAAGCAGAAGTCAATTTCGAACCACGTACGTTACGGCGATGTCAGTATGCTCCGAAAGAAGCCGTTGTGCATATGCAAAGCTGACGCGATTATATATTAACAAAAGCGGAGTTACGAAAAAAGCCGACACTCTCGTGCTTGCAAAGAAAGAAGGGGAGAGCGTCGTAGCCCCGCGAAAAAAGATGATTTCAGTCACGTTATTTACAGTGCACAAATTCCGATTGTTAGCGCGGGGACGACCAACATCTTCTGCTTCGCTGCTTCTTCTACGATAAAGGCCGACACCCGTTGAACCGTCTCCACTCTTTTCATTTTTGAGTCTTCTTTCTTTTATATTTTTGAGGCGACGACACTCTGCCGCGTTATTTCTTCCTTCTGCTTATATGTTGCTGTGTATATTTTTTGTTTGCTTTTTGCTTTTCTTTTTTTTTTTTTTTTTTTGCCCGACGTGTAAACAATTGCGTATCCTTGCTTTGTTTGGCTTCGTTTTTACTCCCTTTCCTTCGCTTCGGCGCTTACTACCCCCGGTTCGTCTGCGCTAGGCCCGGGCATTTTGAGGGCCGTCTGCAACTTTGCTGTTGTGTTTGTTGTTTTCTTCCACTGTCGTCTCCGATAACCTCCTATTTTCGCCTTCGATTGAGTTTCTAATCCAAAATCGTCATACGTGCTTTTTGATATTTATTAAATATATTAGAAGTGTAAGCTCGTTACCCATTTTTATTCGAATTTTATTTGTGTACTCCGGCCGGCACGTCTGCTACGGGTCATCGTTTGTTAATCAACCGGCCGCATTCAAGAACAAGTTTGTGCGATGTGGTGGAAAATCTTTCTTCTGCTTCCTACATCGACCTACGGACACCTACGTCAACAAGTACTTGAATGCACTTTTAAACTTCTTCGTCAAGCGAGCGAACGAACAACCCGCCAAAGTCACTGGAAAAAGAAATTCGAAAGGAAAAAAAGGTTACTCACTGCTAGCACATATTGAAAGAAGATTGCTGCCTGCGACCAAAACATTTCTGCGACTCTTTTTTACCGGGCAGTGTGAGCTGCACTACGTTATTTATTTCTCATGTTTTGTTTTTAGTTCGTACATACGCCGCGAAAGCAAATAAAGAAATGTACAACAAGCAGCTGAAAAAAAAAGGGTCGCTTTCTTCTTTTTTCATTCGTTTCGTCTGTTGCTTCCGCTTTGTTTGTCGTGAACTCAACACCGGTGGCGACCACCAGCTATTCATTTGCTGCTTTCCATTTTTCTTTCTTTTTTTCTATAAGCGCCGCAATGATCGTCGTCGTTGAAATAGTTTTTTGCTAGCTTCTTTGTTTTATTCGCCATTGTTCGCTTCTCTTTCCCGTTTCTTCTTATTTTCGTCGGGAATGGCGACACCATTTTTTCTGCAAAGTTCGGTAAGTGTCTGCACGTTCTTTTTTATCCTTACTTTTTGTTTTGTTTTTATGCTCCAGCAGCTCGTGCGCTTGCTCTGATAATATTAACATGTCGTTTTTGCATGTTTTAACGATTACGACGTAGTTCGAGTAGCTAAACGCCTTTTTTCCGCTTCCGAGACGCGTTTCAAACGCGTGTGATCCCCTGAGAGGCGTTTGAGACCGCTAAATAAACTGCTCTATCTTTGTTTATGCGCGCGTTGTTATTCGATTGTCGTTGCAGTTGCGATCAGTGGATTCCGCTTTGCAAGCGAACTGACCGTAATAAATTGTTTCTGCTGTTAGGGTGACGATACGGGGCTTGTAAAGCTCGAGGACGTCGCGGAGCCTATACTTTTCCATTGCGACGACTGCTTCCGTAGACTCCGAGTCCGCTAGAGGTGCCACTGTCACGTTCGCCGCCGCTCCTATGTGTTTTCGGAGGAGTTTCCAGTATTGGCGAAGCTATATTGTATTTGGTTTTACTCTTATCCCCTTGTGCCCGGTCATGCCGGCGTAGTTTTTCTGAAGAGGGCTGTCGATTGTCTGCAACACAAAATGAAAGTCGTTCATTTTTTTTTTGTATGCTGCACTGCTATTCCTAATATTACCCTTCAGATCGCGGAAAAGTAGCATTCCATTCAACATTTATTTTTCGCTTTATCACATAGAATTGGAGGGCATTCGAGTCGTGAATGAAATGATTGGCAAATACGATGAATCAGCAATATTTACTTATCCAATTTCATTATTCATCTTAATGACAAACCAAAAAACGCGCACATAGACCAAATTAAAAAAAAAGCCTCACATGTCTCAATGGTTTCCGGCTTTCCACGCGCAGACTGTCAGACCCCATTCAAGGAGGAAGGCAACTGCGTGCTGACGGGGTCCTGCCCAACTCTGGACAACGTCATCACCAACCAGACGGTGCTACGCCGATACGTATGCGGCTTTCGGAGAAACAAGCCCAAACTGTGCTGCCCTACGACGTCACAGGAGGGCAAGCCTTTTGCCCAGCTGTTTACCACCACCACGCCCGCGCCCACATCGCCCACCGCTGCACCCGAACCTCCGCCATTCACCTTGGTAGCCCCCAAGGCGGCCGGTAACTCTGGCGCCGCTATCAAGCCGCTCGAGCCACCCAAACCCATTAAGAACTACCCGAGCTTCCTACCAGGAGGTAAGTGAGAGTATTGGCTATAATCCAGTACATGTTCAGAACGCGCTAGAAACTCCACCCACACCCTCGTTACCTCCAACCAGTGTTCCCTCCACAATGCACAAAGAGTCCAGTACCCAAGCGGACGACGCGCTGAAGTGTGAAAATCAATCCTCCCCCCCCCATACTCTCTACCTACAAAACAAAAAAAAAAAAAACAAGCGGGTAACAGAAAAGCATACCTTTGCCCGACCAGGCCCTTTAATTGGTTACTGTGCCCAGCCCTCGCACTCCCTCCTGCAAGGTATTGCTGTTCCACGAGCCTAGGCGTCACATAACGCAACATGGCTACTGTCTTTACTGACTGATCGGCGAGCGATTCACTGCCGTGGCGGATGTGTTGTGCAGTGTATTTGTCGCATCCTCAATGTGTATCCGGCTTATCCGTGTACATGGCACTGAGAATGTGCCAACCTCCCCCAATCTTCTTAAAGATTGGGGGATTGGTCTTCGAAAATGTTTCTTGACCTTACTTTCTCGGCCTCTCTTTTTATTTTTCCTTTTGTCTTGACCGCAGGCGCATCCAATGGCATTTCACAGCTCCCTTAAAGCGGTAGCTTTACCTGTGATACTTTTTAGGAATTTCGGTGTCGGTGTTTGTTGTCTGTAGTGGCAGCGGAAAGAGAAAAAAAATATTTTATTCCCTCCCCTTCATGGCGCGAGGAGAAAGAAGTCGGATGTTCCCATTAGACGCGCCGCGCAAAGGAGGATGAGGAAAAAGCCCGGCGACCCGTCGATTTGGGCGCGACCACGAGGAACCGTCATCTGGTAACGATAAGTTAAAAATAAGTGTTTGCAAACACTACTACCGTTATACGAAATCACACTTTGGCAACTTCCGGTTGCTACGCAAAATATTGGAGGGTTTTAGAAGCTTCCACCGGCGTTCGAGTTGACTGTAGCGTTTCTACGTCTCCAACACAACTCGAAAGGTAAACTATGTTCTGCCAAAACCCGTCGCCTTCCGCCCTCTTCGCCTTCTTCATGTCCCCTCTCCGCTCATCGCTGAACTCAACGTTAATCCCTCCCTTCACCACTGAAGAACACAAGGAAAGCCTGCGCCTTCGCCTGCGCCGGCGCAGGTTTTTTCCGTAAATGTGCGTAGAAGTCAAAGCGAGAGCTTGAGCACGTTCGCGCAGTGCGGGCGATATGGTATCGTCACGTACTTTGTACAGGTACGCGACGGCACCGTTTCGCCCGCTTTGGCCCAATGTGCAACAGCTATCACTTTCACTCATTCGCACCCATTGTGGACAAAAAAGGCACCCTTTTAATATGCGCTTCATTTTAACACAACTCAGATTGCGTTTGGCGCTGAACGGAGAGCGCAAATCAAGCAGTGTCGAAAACGCAACGTGCCGGATTTCGTAATGTTTCATCTACCGCGTATTTCATAAATCACATATAACGTCTTTGATCGGACTGTTCGCGATTTCGACTCTTCTATCCTGGGGCTACTCACTGGCTCGTGATGGCGGGAAGCCTTGTCTCGTAATCTATCATGAGTCAGTCTAGGAAACTTTATGACTCAGGCACGGGATCGCATTAACGCAGAAACGCGGAGCCCGTTGAGCAATGACTCAGAAAGACGAACATGACGTGATCATGCTTTGTGTTTTACTGCCCGAATAACCCTATATAAACGTTAGATTAGTGCCGCTGCTGCTTTGACTAGATTATTCTCCGTTCATTGGTGAACAAACATGGAGTTGTGAACAAGAAAACACACATTTACTGGTGAACAAACATTTAGTGGTGAACAAACATTTTAGTTGTGAAGAAACTTTCATATCAGCCCGAAAGCGCTTTGCTCGATTAAATTCATATTTTAGCTCCACGATAAAAACAAGCGCACACGCACGTCTTTGTGAAAACAACTCAAAACACGAGAGCGTCGGCATTAACTGGACAGTAATGGGCAATGTGGAAAACCATAGCGACACTATAGCGGGTGACAGGTGAAGAACGAAGTGGAAGCTCCTCCCACCTCTTTCCACTTTAGGAGAGCGAACTCTGGAGAGGAGGCGACCTCCTCTCCACCGTTCGTTCCGCTGAAGTGGAAAGGGGTGGGAGGAGCTTCCACTTCGTTCTTCACCTGTCACCCGCTATAGTTGTTGAGGGTCATTATGAAAAACACTTGTCATCGAAGAAATGAGTTCCGGTTTCCTCCATCATATCTCGACCAACAGCAGAACTCGCGGAATTTTACCTCGCACCTCGCCGCAGCGTTCCTCACCGATAGTTTTCCTGGGATGATCGACATGTGCAGTGATGCAGTGAAAAAATAGGTGTGTGTGGATTGGCGGGCCTTTATAACGTTATGTGTGCCCTGGATTAATTATTATTATTATTATTATTATTATTCTATACGCACAAATTGTGAAGCCGTTCATTATGTTAGTTCCATGAAATATCTAGGCACTCACTCTGCGATTTATCATGGGGCACACATGTGTCGCACTTATGTCAACGGATGAGAACCGTTTCTCGTCTGCTGCATAATCTAAAATGTTTTGTACCCTTTTCTACAAGAAGAAACATAACGCATACTCTGAGGTTTGGCATTATTGTCTTCCTCAATTGTCCTCTCTTACGGCACGCAAAGATCGACCGCATTTTGGGAAGTATATTAAAAAGTGTTGTTTACCGCAAAGAACACTCATGGAGTGAAAACGTGTTCGCTTTTCTCGAATCGCCGTCGTTTATTCGTACAAATCGCCATCTGGGAGAGCAAGTTTCAAACCACATCCGCCCCACTTCGAGCAGTTCACCGTTTCTCAATGTTAAGAGTGAGAACTGGTGGTAGTGGTGAAAGTGTGCGCATTCTATGCGCGAAGCATTTTCAATACTGTTCCAGAGACATTGCTTTCTTTGACTTCCAGCTGCACACTAAACAAAAAGTCTGATATCTAAGTTTTCTGATGTGTTGCGAGAGCAATATTGATCACAATGGGAAATCTGCCTGGACAGTTATTTTCACCTTGTTTATTGTGATTTTTTGCACACGATCATGCAGGATAATGCAAACGGATACGTAATTTCAAATGTACTAACTTCTATTTTTCGTCCCTGTACTGTCTGTTTCTTTTCTGATGAACTCGCGAATCTGTGTTTTTCCCGTCAAATTGAAATAGTGTCTTTTCTCATGGAAATTTATCTAGTTACGGAACACCTCTTCGAACTTTCAATCCCGCATCGGAGTAGTATGTAAGCATGTTGTAAGAAATGTTTTCCTGAAAACTGCGTCGTAGTAGGGAGTGAACATGTGCGGTTTTTTTTTTTGTCTTTTTTTTTGAAAGCGAGCAAATTTGTGTTCTTAAATACCGACACGAAATCCTCTCATCCACGCCTCGTAAAAGCACACCTCTCTTCATCCTGATGGTGTGCATGTGGTTATGTGCGTGCGCGAGTTTTTTAACTTTGTTTTATATGGTGCAATTCATCTCCAACTTGCTAATAAATGAACACTTTTTTTTTATTATGGCACTAACCTTTGCATACTGAAAACATCTTTTTTTTTTCTTTTTTTGCTTTGCATTTTGGAATTATGTTTCTCCCATAAAGCTGGACCTGGTCTTACAATCCCCTGATGACCTTGATCAGTCCGACATAAACTCTGCCGCATCCGTATTCCTTAATAAAATGTTGTTTTTTTTTTTGTGCCGTGGCTCCTGTTTTATTTTGATCCATGTGTCCGCTCTAACAAACAAACGGACTAAACGTACGAATCGACGTTTTTATATATATAGTGCTTGTGTGGACTTTCTTCACCAATGCGCATGCATACTGACCTTGAAAGCTCGTCCTTCTCCAACTGAACTATAACCAAATTTTATACTGCGCCATTTTGTTTTACTCTGTGTTTGTAGTTCGTAGTTCTATTCAAGCTGCAACCACTCTAGCAGCAAACTTGAACTTCTCCGCTGCACTGTGGCAAGACATGGCCATCTGCGTCTGTGTTTATGTGTGTCCGTACGTGCGTATTTTTTGCATGCACGTGCTTATGTACTAACGTCTACTGTGCTAACTTTAAATGCTGGATCCCGTCCTACAAGTCCTTGGTGGCTTTGACCAGTCACAAGAACTGAACTTACTTTATCTACGCTCGCCAATTAAAATTACAACTACTACCACTACTACTACTAGAGCAAAATAACTTGTTGGCCTAGTTGGTTAAACATTACGAAAATAAAAAGCGCGAAAGACAAGGAAAAGAGGAACACTACACATAGTCTCGCTTTCTACTTGTCTTTCACGTTTTTTTTTATTTTCGTACTCCTACTTGTACTAGTACTACTGCTACTTCTACTGTCATCATCATCATCGCGACTTTATTAGGCCGTAAACACCCAGGGGGAAAGCAAACCACGTGGCCACAGCGAAATTAAACCCATCGGCGATCGGGAGGTACGCTTCCCTCCGCACCAACTCGGTGTGTGTTTGTTTTCGATTTCGACAAACTTCGAGGAAGCACGGCCCAAAGATTAACATCGGGGCATCGGGCTTTCACACCGTATTTAAATAACCTATCACTGCTAAGTCATCTTATTTTATCACCTCTATTGTCGCGACGCAGTTTGGGTTCGCCTCAATACCTCATTGTCTGATAAAGCCACAAATATAAAGGTATACGTATTGCATCAAGTGTACACGTCGATGAATATACGGCGAGGGTACGCTGTTTTGGGGTGCGAGGGAGAGGTCAGCGATGTCCGCGGCTGGCCGTGCTGCAATGAAGGAAACCTAAATTCAGATCTTCCCTGAAGGCAGCTTTTCAAAGTTCCTCTTACCCCCGGGTGACACTCCTGTTTTCAGTATTATCCACTGCCTAGGAAATGTATGCGGCGTTAATGTTTAGACCTGATCTCTTCTCTCTCGATACTTTTGCAGGCTGTGGAATCTCGAACATTAGCAGCATCCGCATCGTTGCTGGAAAAATCTCGGAAGTGGGGGCCTGGCCTTGGATGGTTCGTCAGTCTTCCTATCTGTCTCGAGGAACACCGCGGCTGTGCGGAAGTATCTTGGAAATTAAGGGCGCTAGCAATATTCACTGACGAGGTTAGAACGGCGGGGCGTCTCTTTCGAACGCCCGACCACCAGCAGGCGCTCGTTGCCATTCTCCGCGCTTTGGCTGCGCGTGAAGGATCAAAGTTCGCGAAACGCGTCAGCGAAGCCAGAAAGCACGCGCTGAATGCGGGACATCTGAAGCGCCTTCGAGTCGTTCCTACTCCTACCGTGACTTTGCGTCGAGAAACTGCGGCAGAGGATAAGACGAGAGTGGACGTCTGAACACCGAGCTCCGGTTGGAATGACAACAGGGTAGAATTAAATGTAGCTGCCTTTCTCTCCTCTGCCCTCATCAGAGGCGCTAGAACAAGGAACGCAGGCGTCCGGCTTTTGACTCTCGCATTCGAGCGCGTTCGACAAGCGCAGAGAAGCGCGTTCGACAAGCGCAGAGAAGACGAAGGCCAGCTAGCTTAAGGTCTACTCTCAAATCGTTCCAACCAGAGATCGATGTTCTGACGTTCCCGCGCGCTCTCGTCTTCTCATTTCCCTCACTCTTTCGGCGCATAATTTATCGGAGATGCTACAGTTGCGAGATTAATTTAAAACGAGTGCACGTGCCGATGTTTTTTATTTACTTATTTCTTTTTTTTTTTACGGCGGGCAATGCAATTTTTGCAGAAATGCAATCCTTAAGTTGCAATCTCTACTAGTTAGCCGAATTCGGCTGTGCGCGTGTTTTTTTTTTCTATCTTCTGACACAAATCATTGAATTAGTTAGTCAAGCGCGTCCTACACAAATGTGGCTAGAACTAAAAGGAACTGACTTAAAAAAAAACAAAAAAAAACACGGTCTGTTGGGAGAACAATGCTAATATTTAACCGTATATGTAGAGTTTGTGCCACAGTGATTGTACCACGGATATTGCTAGCACCTAGGAGTAATTGTGGTGAGTGGGATACGTTAATGATGAAGACCAGCGCGAAACACGAGGAGACAGATGTGCACTTGTGTTTCGCGCTGTTTTTAATCATGAACGTATACCAACTAGCCAAAATGTTCATTCGAATGAGATACGCCTTATGATACTCCGAGAGCATGACATCTTAAAACTTTAGAGTGTCCTCGGACCTCTAGTGTTCCTCGAGGAACCCTGCCTGCGTTCCAGTGCTGCGGTCCACATCACTTGATATTTCGGGGTATAGAGTGGCCCAATGTTGCAAGTTTTTTTTAAACGTTTAATCCACTTCCTATTTTTATATGCCGTCGCTACCCATATCCCTTTAAACCGCTTCACAATACACCCTTTGTGCACGTTGTGTAATATTATACTTTGTCTCATCCTACGATGGACTAAAGGCCAAAGCCAAGGGCCGCCAGGTCCAATCACGTTCCACGCTAATCTATAACATGCCTAACATTGATTAGGGGTAGACGAATAATGCTCTGAATCAAAGAGCGCTGCATCATTTCTATAGCTTCGACACTGTAAAGAGCCTGTATATCATGGCTTTCTCAGCAATGTAAAACTGATGAGTCACTCAGTGCTATTTGATAATAACCACAGTCCGCCCATATCTATCAGTGATGCACCGATACGTGCATCGAACAATGAGCAAACAATGAGGGATATAAAATAGCACCGAAACCTTTTATTTTATAACGATAACTACGTAAAAAATACGAAACCGCAACTTGTTCGCTTGATTTATTCTTTCGTTCAATTTTGTATTCGTCAGATTGTATTCTGTTAACGGTATAAGTGCCATCCGGAAAAAGTTTTATTTTCCGCACTTTTACATGGTGTTCACCAGATGTGAAGGCGAACTCCCGAAAACAGGTTGTCCTTAGACGACCCATTTATTTGTGAACCATGAGACGGGGACGACGGATTAAGATTCCGTGCACAAGAGGTTAGGGCGCAAACGAGCTGGTGGTGGCTAAATACCTCGAGACTGTGTTCGAGACTTTGTGTTAGTCCGTCCCTACTCGTCCCAGTCTCGGGGTTTTTAGTCAAGTGTCGTTTTAGTATCGTTTTTACAAACTTTTTTTCTTTTTCTTCTCGTAAGTGTCGTTTTCTTAGCCAGCTTCCCGGCACTCTCCAAGTTCTAATATTTCTATTTGCTCCTTGACAATAGTTAATGTTCAGCGCTGCAAGTAGGACGCACCCCATATCGAGAACACGAAATGCGAAAGATCGCGCTGCTCTTTCGGTCATCGTGACTGGGAAACGCTAGTGGTTGGCTGTCGCGATAGGGCCATTTGTGATGCTCTAGTAGATACGGCTGTGTCATTCGACCTAGATCAGGTTGTCAAAACGTGCACCAGAGATAATTCTGTTTTTGTTCTTGTTTTTCTAACCCATAGTAACACAAACCTAGGTTATGACTGCCAGGTGGTCGAGGGAATTTCTGATCACAAAGCGGTCCTTGTCAGCCCTAACATTCGTATCAAGCGTTCGAACCCTGAATTCGTCACGTTCCTTGATTTCAACAGAGCTGACGATGTATCAATTATTGATGAGCTTAGTTTTTATTTTGATGATTGTTGTGCCATAAGTCAAGACGCTGATGTCAATACGCTGCTTAGATATTTCAACTCCCTTATAGATAAACGCATCAACAAATTCGTACCTATTACTAGGAAGAAAAAGAACCCTGCGCACCCCTGGATTACAAGAGAGGTGCTGCAGTTGAAGCGGCAAACGAAGAGGAGAGGTCGTTCAACGAAACATAGCACAGAATCAGTTCATACCTCGTTTTAATATCTTAAAACAACCTTGAAAGAAAATATGTTAACAGCTAAAACCAAATATTTTAATGTAACTTTGGCTGAATTTATTAAATCAAATCCTGCCAATGTTTGGAGGTCTATTTTTACAAAATGTAACATATCACAAAGTTCTATTATAAAAGGTGAATCTGTAAGTGAGCCGACAAAGATAGCGAACTGTTTTAATTATTATTTTAAATCTGTATTCAGTCGTGATAACGGCAATGATTCAGAGTTTTTCTTTGAAGGTATATACACAGCTTTATCTGATTTAGAAATTAGTGTTTCTGGTGTCCTCAATCTATTAATGAACCTTGACTGTAAGAAAAGCCCTGGCCCTGATGGAATTCCAAATTCTTTTCTTCGCCGATATTCACTTTGGAGTTCCGAAATGTCTACATGTCATTTGCAAAATATCTATTTCTACTGAAACAGAACCTTGGTCATGGAAGTCGGCTAAAATTATCCCCTTCTTCAAGTCAGGCAACAAACAGGTGGTTACAAACTACAGACCCATTTCGCTCACATCGTCTTCATGCAAACTTTCGGGACATATTGTCTATAAACAGGTATCTGAGTACCTCGAGACTAATTTTATTCTTTGCCCGCAACAGCATGGTTTAAGTCGTGGCTATTCCACCTCAACCCAACTTCTTGAATTCACTCACGACATAGCTTTAGCTTTAGATAAAAGAGGACAACTTGATGCCATCTTTGTAGATTATTCTAAGGCTTTTGATACGGTGTCACATCATAAGCTTCTTCAGAAACTACAAGCGATTTTAAATAATACGTCATTAATTAATTGGATCTAAGATTATCTAAAAAATAGATCAGAGTTTGTTTCATACAGGGATGTTCATTCTAGCAATGCTTCAATTAGTTCCGGTGTCCCACAGGGATCAGTTTTAGGACCTCTTTTGTTTTTACTTTACATTAACGACGTCGCAAATGGTCTTCCAATTAAAATTCGCCTGTATAGAGATGATTGCGTTTTGTACAACGAAATCAACTCGGTACATGACCATGCCTTGCTAAATGACTCTTTTGAACAGTTTTTTTAATTGGAGTAAACAGTGGCAGATGGAAATTAATTTTGATAAATCTGTAGTAATGTCATTTACTAATAAGAAGGAACCGTCTGTTTTTAGGTATGGTACTAGTAATATAATTCTGCGCAAGTTCACGAATACAATTATTTGGGTATTTTTTTCACGCCTAGTCTCAAATGGGATACGCACATCAGTTCTATTTGTTCTCGTGCTCTGCAAAGGCTAGGATATGTCAAGACAACTTTAAAATCTTCAACTGGGGAAGTTAAAATAACGGCGTATAAAACCTTGATTATACCTATCATAGAGTATGGTTGTGTGGTGTGGGATCCGTATCTAAAGGGTGATATTAAGCAGATTGACGCAATACAATCAAAGCCAGCTAGATTTATTTGTAATAGATATGACCGCAATTTTTCTCCTACATCTACTATGACTGACATAGGACTTACGCCTCTTGATTCTAGACGCGCTGTAGAACGGCTCGAGCTCCTACACAAAAGAGTCAATAATAACTGTGCACTTAATCGGGAAAAATATGTTGGTTTTGTTACTGAATCACGCACTCGAAGCTTCCATCCATTAAATCTTGTACCGTACAGAGCCCACCTTAACTGTCTTAAATATTCTTTTTTCCTCGAACGATAGAAAACTGGAATAACATAAATGGATCAGTTCGTTGTCTCGATTTTGATAGGTTTGTATTAGAAATACAGTAGGTGTTCTGGTATAGTGCCTGGAATCTGTAATTGAAGCGTATGCGTTTGTTTTTGTACTCTTTTTATATTGCATTTTTCACGTTTTTCTAAGTTTTGTTTCGTAGGGTGTGTACATATTTAATCCATGACCTTTTTGAATGTATATGCATGTTTTCTTTCCACTCCTGTGATGACCTCATCGAGGTCGCAGTATTTTGAAATAAATAAATAAACCCAAACAACAAATGTCGTGGACGAAACGTCGCTGAACTAAATGGTGTGGGATTTCCTTTTTGACACCTGCGAACTCAATGTAATCAGTTTCCACAAAATGCAAGGAGCATATAAATCGGGTAGCGTCCGCTTTCCGAGGAGCCCGTAAAGGTTCTGCAGGAATTGCAGCCAGCCATCAGTCCCGATCCCGTTGATCTTTCAGAAACGTGCAGACTCTGCCGCACAATGCCACTTTTTTTGAACGCAAGACATGTGAGCCAGGTCTTCACGCAACATCTTGGGGTATTCTTTTCGGAGCCGATCACGGGAATTCACCGCGGGCACTCACTAGTCATCTCCAGCTCTAATAATAACAATAACTCATCTTGAAGTAGAGAACAGCAAACGGAACGAACATAACTGCAAAGGGATCGCACTGTAAACAGTTCCCACCACGCACACGCATGTCGTCTGCTGCGCACAGAAAAAACGATCGGGTGTAGCCACGTGACTTCCGCCACTCGCTCTGTCCTCTCCACTCCTCCGACCTCCGTGCGCGGGTTTCAGCTTCGGTTTTGAGCAGTTGCGTTTTTTGGCTTTAAATATATATACACACATATATATATATATATATATATATATACGTGACTCTAGGAAAATATAAATTGGGTAGTCTTTCGACACCACAATAAATCGCCTGGCAAGAAAATTAAAAACGTTTTTTTAGCGGTGTCAGTTTCCCTTTAAAGGCAAGATGAAAACAATGAAATGTATGCCCAATATGCAGGAAGGGGAAAGAAGACAGCCAATGCGAGACTTGAAGTTAATCCGTTTACTTTTATTTAGAAAAATGCGTACTATGTGCCATACGAATATTTTATGGGTATTATGCGTTATGGTAGGTATGGGTGAGACTTTTGTTTCAGTAGGGGTAAGAAATAGGTTTTAAAACGGACGACACGTTGAGCGTTTCACTAAATATCCAGATCATAAAATGGCTGCTAAGTGCTTTCTTTGCTTTGCCCAGGCCGCCATCTACCTGAAGACGAGCGACAAGGACAAGATCGGCTGCGGAGGCGCCTTAGTTTCCCCCAAGCACATCCTGACGGCCGCGCATTGCGTCAGCGTCGGTGTGCGCGCCACAAAGTAGGTCGAAAATCATGGCCTCTTTATCGTAAGAATAATAAGCGCATTAAAGAACAAGAGGACACCGAGCGCTTCTTATGACTGGATTGTTTATTGAAAAACACGCATTATTGTGTGTTTTCCAACGCACAATCATGCGTGTTGGATGTGACCGTTGTGTGTTACAAAGTAGGTCACATCAAAGCCCTTGTATCATAATAAGTAGGAGGATTAACTATTTTCACGTCTTTGATGAAAAAACGAGTATTTTAAAATGATTGTGTAAGAACACGCCACGGTAAATACATCCCTAAATTAAGGCTGATACATTTGTGAAACGAGCCAACCGAGAAAAATGAAATTCACAAAAACTTCCCAAGACAGGCGTTCGGAAATTTGGGTATTAGCTTCCGTTCTTAAACACCGGTGAGAAATAAAGGCGGCCTACTGGAACCCGTGGGCTGAATTTAAGGTCGCCCTTTTTTCGTCCAGGCTTCCGGCGCGGGTCTTCAGCGTGCGTCTGGGCGACCACGACCTGTCGTCGGCTGACGACAACACTCTTCCCATTGACGTGGATGTAAGCGCGGTGCACAGGCATCCCAGCTACGATCGCCGTACATACAGCAACGACGTAGCTGTGCTCGAGCTGAGCAAGGAGGTCTCCTTCAACCAGTTCGTGCAGCCCGTGTGCCTGCCTTTCGGGGAAATCTCCAAGAAGGATGTGACCGGATACCACGGGTTCATCGCCGGCTGGGGAGCCACGCAGTTTAGTGAGTTCAGTGTTGTTTTCTTATTTTTACCTGCGAAATAATGCAACGTAGTCAACGCCAGCTCACACCGACTTTTCTCTTATAATTGCACCGCACCATATCTAGAAACGTGAGGGTTTCCGTTCTATTGCAATTTTTAACCGAGGTATAGACAGTATCACCCCTCTAAAAACGATTCATAGAGTTGAACCAGACTCCTTAAACACTTTGCTGCTCACGCAACCTCCCCGTAACCTTATGGGAGAGTTTCGTACACGACCACGCGCGACGCTGGCGTTGACAAGGGGCCTACGGGCCGCCAATCTAGCCAGCACTACTTGCAGTCTGGCAACAACGAAGCGTGTCGGAATTTTAAACCACTTCTGAATGCGGCGCCCAGAAATCTTGATAATACTTTATTTATTTATTTATTCGGTTACCTTCAGCGCCCTGGCTAGGGCATTATTGCAGGGAAGAAGACAGTACGAAATTTACACAAATGCGAAGTACATATCGAAAAACAGAAGGCTTAGGATGCGGGAGGATTCACAATGACAGCAACAGAAAAATATGTACATGATAACACCACAGCCACTTTACAACATAAACGCCACAAAAAGAAAAGCCGATAACAGAATATCAACAAACAAATATAATTAATTTAACAAAAAAAATTATGAGTTGGAAAAAATGAGAAATATGGAGCAGAGACAATATCAGCTGGTGAATTGTTCCAATCATGTACTGTACGGGGAAAGAAACTATACTTGAATATATTTATTCTGCACCTTCATTCGCGGACATGCATAGGATGATCTGTACGGGGAGGCACATAGGTTGGTTCGTTTATGTATTGTTTTTTTTTTTTTTCAATGCCATTTCTGCGATTAAATAGGTTATAAAATAAGGACAGTCAAAGATAATTTCGGCGGTCTGCAAACGAAGGCCACCCTAACCTATTACATATAATAGATGAGCTTTTCTAGAAATCATATTCGCCTGACACAAACCGCGCTGCACGTTTCTGTGTACGTTCGAGCTCATCTATACTTGTCTTGGTCTGAAAATCCCACGCGGTGCAAGCATATTGTAAAATCTGACGCGCGTTCGCCGTATATAAAGCTTCTTTGAGTTTTGTGGGTTTCTGCCTGAAGTTATGTTTAAGAAAGTTTAACGTGCGGATAGCCTTAGAGGACAGATACTTAACAAGAGCGTTCCAGGACAGTTCGCTGGAAAACACAACCTCTAAATACTTATATTCTGGAACAACAGACAAGCTTGTGCAACCAAGAAAATATTCTGTGTGCAGAAATCCTCTTTTGTTAGTAAACCTGACTAGACTGCATTTGTTTGAGTTCAGAGTCATCTTCTATCTTTGGCACCACAATAAAATAAAGTTAAGATCATTCTGCAAAAGCTCAGAGTCCGCTTAGCATGTGATGTCACGGTAAACACAGCAGTCATCTGCATATAATCTGACGCGACTAGAAATATTTCCAGCTAAATCATTTATGTATATAAAAAAGTAGGGGTCCGAGGACAGATCCTTGAGGGACACTCGATAAGACGCTTCGTTTGACGAACTTAGACCGTCGAGGACCACATTTTGCTTTCTTCCAGTGAGATAAGCTGCAAGCCATTTAAAAAGAGTATCTGGAATATGAATAATAGGTAACCTTTGCAGCAACAATGCGTGTGATAGCGAATCAAAGGCCTTTCTGAAGATAGAAAAAAATCGTAAGGGTGCAGGCGAGCTGGTGAATATTAACCATGTGAAAACGAAGAAGGGACAGAAAATTGACACGACGACGTCTGAAACTCAGCTAAGCTTCTGAAGCCTAGAAAGACAAAATTAACTTGGCTACGACAGCTTATCGATGCAACAATATCATGGGTAAACTATACTACTTCTGTATCACAAGGAAATTACGTTCTGAAACCATGTTGCGTTGGGTGAAAAAAATTATTACATTGTGGATGACTGATTAAGTTACAGTAAATAATGTGTTCTAATGGTTTACAGGAAACACTTGTCAGAGAGATAGACCTATAGTTACAAGTCTTTGTTTTGTCTCCACTTCGGCGTATAGGGACTACGTTTGCATTTTTCCAATTAAGAGGTGATTCACCCTGTTCAACAGATTTTCTAAACAACAATATTAGATATAAAGCGACAGATATGGCGCAATTTTTCAGAATATAGTTCGAGATGCGATCTGGACCACGGGCTGAGCCTATTTCGACCTTCTGTAAAAGCAACGCGACGCCGTGCTCTAACAATTCTATGTCATTCATTAGTGAAAACCCATTGTAATTCGGTAGACCACTAACCATGCTGCCTGACTGTGTGAACACTGACTGGAAGTACAAGTCAAAGCTTTCAGCCTTGCCTTCCAGATCGTTGCCATAATTTATACCATCCAATACATCAGGAATAGTGACACTAGAATTCGACACATTCCCACACCTTCTTAGGGTTTCTTTTGAGTTTTTCAGAGAGATTTCCTTCATACTTGTTTTGTGCCTTCCGCATTTCCTTTGTTATGCTCTTATTTAGTTCTTTCATCTTAGAGTACAGTACAGTTTCTCTCGACTGACAATACCGGCGAAACAAACGGTTCTTTATCCCTATCAAGGTTCGAAGTTCCTATTCATCCACGGTCTATTGGTTCGGCGCTTAGCCGAAATGATACGTGATGGGACGAACGTCTCGATCAAAAACATTTTTGTTTTAAAGAGGTTTCACGCTGAATTAATATCTAAAACTGAAATATGCAGCTGGAATTCTGGAAAAAAATGCGCCCAGTTCACGCGATAGCGAACCGTAGTCCCCAGTTTGATAGAAAAGCACTTTCCGTGGTTGTGAACTGCGGTGCCGCGTTGAATTACAGTGTACTTTTGAGACAACAACCTCATTATCACTTATACTGGGTATTGTAAAGACAGAGGGCACAAGATTGCGGTCATGGCATAAAAATAAATCTAGCACATATCACTTGTAGGGCCAAGTTTTGTTGGTGTTTCCACGAACTGTAATAATGAGTGTGCATTGTTCATTTCACGAAATGCTGTTTACAGAATAGACGTGGTCTGAATTATTAGATGGAAAGACACCCATTCTATATTTGGCAGGCTAAAGTAGCCTGCAAGTATGGTGTATTGTGAGGGGTAGTGACCAAAATTACAATCAATAAACAAGAAGAAATATACGCTAATGGGGCGAACTTGTGCCCAAAACAAAAAGGGAATAGACGATAATACCAGAGCGTCGAAGTCGGCATAACAGCCGTACCGAACGCTGGGGCGAGACTGACTCCGCTCGCCTTGCGGAGTCCCTTATGTACCCTCGTAGGTTTATGGATCATTCGGAGTAGGACTTTCGGTGCGTAGACTATTGGGAACTTGATCAGACGAGAATGTTCTCCAACTTACGAGAAATAAAAGGACAGTCCGCTGACTCGGATCGAACCTATAATATTGCCGCGCGCAAGGCTGAGAAAGCAACGCTCGGTCACGGTCCTCCAGAAAGTTCCCGTTTATTCATGTACCGCACGTAACTTCTATCATTTATCCCTGCTTTTGTTTTCTAGAAAGTGCGTGTTCATTCTCGCCCCGATCACGCGACGCTCGAACCGCTTTCGCCGAATCTTCGAGATAGCGGCGCACTCTAGATAAGAGGCCGCCCGCGACCTTGTCGAGTCAGTTTTTCGCCCAGCGTTCGACTCTGCTGCTACGCCGATTTCGACGCCCGCGACGCTCCGTTATTATCTTTTGTACCCTTTTGTTTCTTGGCACAAGTTCGCCACATTAAACGTTTATTTCTCCCTGTTTATTTCCTGTTTTCTTTTGGTCACCAACCGTGACATTTTGGTGGAGGTGCCGTGCCACGTGTCTTCTCACGAGTACTGCCGACCTTCGCCATCCGACAAGGTGTACTCTACAAAGAGAACTTCGGGAACAACAACTCGCCGTGGCTGCTGGTAATCCCGACCGACCTTCGAGGGGAGATCTTTCAAGCATGTCACGACGACCCGACGTCCGGACACCTTGGATACAGCCGGACACTGGCCCGTATTCGTGAAAAGTATTACTGGCCCAAGCTCCCCAAGACCGTCCACCTGGACACACGATCATGCCACGAGTGCCAGCGACGCAAGAAACCTCCGACGAGGCCGGCCGGACTCCTGCAGCCTATTTCTCCTCCAACTGCACCCTTCCAGCAGATCGGAATGGATCTACTTGGTCCTTTTCCGCCTTCGACGTCGGGGAACCGCTGGATCATCGTCGCCACAGATTATCTCACGCGGTACGCCGAAACGAAAGCTCTTCCTTCGGGGACTGCTGTGGAAGTTGCCAAGTTTTTCATTGAGTCCATCGTCCTCCGGCACGGCGCTCCAGAAGTTCTGATTACAGATCGCGGATCATCGTTCATGGCACAATTGACCCAAGAAATCTTCCGACTCAGTCACACCAGCCATCGTCGTACAACTGCGTACCACCCGCAGACCAACGGGCTGACGGAGCGACTCAACAAGACAATCGCCGATATGATCTCTATGTACGTCGACGTAGAGCACAAGACGTGGGACGAGGTGCTGCCCTACGTCACGTTCGCCTACAATACGGCGGTTCAAGAGACCACTGGATTCACCCCTTTCCAGCTGGTACATGGTCGGAAGGTAACGACCATGCTGGACGCCATGCTGCCCCATGAGCCATCTGACAACGAGAGCGACGACGCCCAGGCGGTTGCTCAACGCGCCGAAGAAGTTCGCCAGCTCGCCCGACTCCTGATTCAAGACCAGCAACGCGTCGACGCCGGCCGCTACAACCTTCGTCGCAGGGACGTCCACTTCCAGCCCGGAGATAGGGTGTGGGTATGGACGCCCATCCGTCGCCGCGGCCTCAGTGAGAAACTGCTGAAACGGTACTTTGGACCATACAAGGTACTTCGTCGCCTCGGCGAGCTGAACTACGAGGTGATGCCCGACGGAACACGAACATCGTCACGCCGCCCACCA